TTTGCCGCTGTGCTAGCTTAGCTGTTTGGTAATAAAGGGCACCCATCCCTGGTCCAGTACAAGATGTATAAATTCCTCTAAACTATTTAGTTTACACACAGGAAAATAGAAAACATGCCTTAATTGCTGTACCATTGCAGGGTATTTTCCAGAAACAAACAAGATTTAACCCAATATTTCCAAGACACAGTCCACCTTATAGGTTTTAGTTCAAGACAGTCAAATTAATCAATCATACCACCCCATACTGGGCAACCATTCCATGAATCCATTATACACATCACATTAGTTAACCATATTTTGACAATGAAACAATGAATACACTCCACATTACTTGCTAATAATTTCACAATGGACAGCATAGCCACATAGATTTCTGCTTCCATAATGTATCAATTTTCTGGTTTTAGGCAGTTTTATCTGTACTGTTTAACGGACTGTCACATAGAACTATTTTATTTATAATTAAGTCTAATTTTTTTTTTTAGCACCTAAATAATGAAAGTAATTCTTCTTTGATTGTTTAAATATATATTCAGAGCATGGTTTAAATACTAATTGTCACCAAGTGGAGATAATGCACAAGATTGGCAAGTTGATTCTTTGGCTGATTAATACAAGCACAGATGAAAACATTGAAATTCAAGCTGAAGTGAATTGTTCCAAGATTCTGTCCCAATTAAAAGTTAGGAGATCAAATAAGGTAAAGTAAAGTTCTCAGATGCACTAAAGCAGTCTAGAAGCGAGGTATTCAAAAGCATTGTTATAGATACTGTATATTTAGGATTAGCCTAAATAAAATAAGCAATATTAGGGCTTTCTACCATATGACACAAAGTGTACAAGTATCATCTCCTCTTTTAAAATTAGTATACATTGCATATTGATGTACCATAACCTTAAAATACACAATAAAGCACTAAACCACATCTACTGCTAAAGCAAACATGCAAGGGTGTCCTTATAAAACATATAGATTGTATAATAGGAATGATAGGTATAATGAAAAACATCAAAAGTAGTTTTGTTCTAATCAGTTGAATAATTTGCCTTTTTCACTTTGAATATATTGACTAAAAAGAGAATTTATTTATTTATTTTTATTAAACCATTTTCAAATTCATAGTGGTCATTCATTGCTATATGTCATGCAAGGTATGTACATTTACAGAAAATAAATGTTTCGGTTATGCAATGATATACACTGCTCAAAAAAATAAAGGGAAAACTTAAACAACACAATATAACTCCAAGTCAATCAAACTTCTGTGAAATCAAACTGTCCACTTAGGAAGCAACACTGAGTGACAATCAATTGCACATGCTGTTGTGCAAATGGTATAGACAACAGGTGGAAATTATAGGCAATTATCAAGACACCCCCAATAAAGGAGTGGTTTTGCAGGTGGTGACCACAGACCACTTCTCAGTTCCTATGCTTCCTGGCTGATGTTTTGGTCACTTTTGAATCCTGGTGGTGCTTTCACTCTAGTGGTAGCATGAGACGGAGTCTACAACCCACACAAGTGGCTCAGGTAGTGCAGGTCATCCAGGATGGCCCATCAATGCGAGCTGTGGCAAGAAGGTTTGCTGTGTCTGTCAGCGTAGTGTCCAGAGCATGGAGGCGTGGAGGAGGCCGTAGGAGGGCAACAACCCAGCAGCAGGACTGCTTCCTCCGCCTTTGTGCAAGGAGGAACAGGAGGAGCACTGCCTGAGCCCTGCAAAATGACCTCCAACAGGCCACAAAAGTGCATGTGTCTGCTCAAACGGTCAGAAACAGACTCCATGAGGGTGGTATGAGGGCCCGATGTCCACAGGTGGGGGTTGTGCTTACAGCCCAACACCGTGCAGGACCTTTGGCATTTGCCAGAGAACACCAAGTTTGGCAAATTCACCACTGGCGCCCTGTGCTCTTCACAGATGAAAGCAGGTTCACACTGAGCACATATGACAGACGTGACAGAGTCTGGAGACGCCGTGGAGAACATTATGCTGCCTGCAACATCCTCCAGCATGACCGGTTTGGCAGTGGGTCAGTAATGGTGTGGGGTGGCATTTCTTTAGGGGCCGCACAGCCCTCCATGTGCTCACCAGAGGTAGCCTGACTGCCATTAGGTACTGAGATGAGATCCTCAGACCCCTTGTGAGACCATATGCTGGTGTGGTTGGCCCTGGGTTCCTCCTAATGCAAGACAATGCTAGACCTCATGTGGCTGGAGTGTGTCAGCAGTTCCTGCAAGATGAAGGCATTGATACTATGGACTAGCCTGCCCGTTCCATTACATCAAATTTGGATCAGCCTGTAGTGTGTTTTTCCACTTTAATTTTGAGTGTGAGGGGTGAGGGGTTTCCGGTTGAGAGAGCTGTGTTTACCCAATAGTTGTCCTGTTTCTGTAGGGAGTCTTATCTGGTTCATTGAGGGGTACTTATAGATCTCTCGTTGGAGATGGGTGTAAAAAAAGAATTCAAAATGAAATCAAACTGAATTTCAACTTTATGGCCTGAGTAGCTGAACTGAAAATAAATGTTCCTAGTTTGGCTATTTTGATCTTTAAATTTAAATTTGCTTGAATGTCTCACATCAGTGACTAACCCTGTTAATTTAAATAAAGTACAGTTCATGTCCTTCTCTTAAAGCACTCCAGAAAGGAAGGTATAGTCCTAAACTATTTAGTGTTTGGCTTATCTAAGCATGTTGTATACTCAGTGTCCAATTTTTTACGATGAAATGATTCTTCAGAGTAGCTTCAGTAAGCTAAAGAACAGTAGTTGTTTTGTACTGCAACATTTCTTTATGTGATATAAAAATCTTTCACGTTAGTGGATTAGGAAAAATAAAAGTTACACTATGAATGACTAAATTGGTTTTTGTTTTACACTTTGCTTGAGATAACAGGGTCTACTTCCAAACACAGATTTTATTTACATAGCTGCATAGTTTCTAGACGCAGGTGCTCACTGTGATACTGTGAACTCTTAAATGAGAACTTCCGAGTTGAGAGGTTGCAGCCACTGCAAACTCTGCAAAAACGATTAGGGGCACGAGACAACAAACCCGGTAGAGGTGAAGGTTGCATGGTTCGCAAGACCAAAAAACTAAAAGCTGACAAGCCATGGATGGGCTTAAACCTCGGCGATATGCTGAGACAGACTAGTCATGGTATAACTGTATAAAATATAAAACTTGACTCATGGGTTAATTTTTCAGGACATTGCGTTTAGATGTCTACAACTATATTTTTGTAAAAGAATTGTTACCTAAATGTGTTCCTTGAACTTGTGTTCTCACATGTGAGTTGCATATAAATAAAGAATAAAAAAACAAAAAAAATTAAGGATAAAACCATAATTTTATGTATATAGTCTTGTTTAGGGACATTTACACTATTGAAATTTTATCAATGATACATAGACACAATGTTTTGTCATGTGCAGTAGGCCACACTGACTTAATACTTGAAAAAATAGGGGGTCTTTTTTGACCATTTTTTTTTTTTTTTTTTTTAAGGGAAGCTGAATTCAATGTAGAACTAATAAAACTTTGAAATTCAAACCTAATGTTCTCTAAAACACAAACAGAAACATGCAAAATTTACTTGGTTGGCCAGTGTTCTTTGCTAAATTAAAAACTGAATTGCAAAAGTTAGATCAATGGAAAAATTCTCCAGATTTTGTATTATTTTCAACATTTTGGCTATTGTCTTCTAATTGCTAGGAAAGTATATTAAATTCACCAAATTACCTAAATTAACTGTTTTGTGATCCTCAACATGCACAGTACTCTCACATAAACCAGGATAGATTATTTAATAGGTTAATTATTTTGAATTTGAATGGGAACAACACAGAAAAAAGGTGTGGAAATTAGTGGCGCTTATTTTTATATAATAAAAAGTAGTTTTGTTAAGCTGCTATAAAACACTCAAAAGGGTACTCCAAAACCCACTCTCGACATGCAAAAAACAAACAAGTAACCACGAGTGGGTCAGTGTAGAAACTTTCCCACTACTTGGTAAGAGTGTAGCGCTATAGGTGTAGTTCCAAAGTGCTCAAATATATAAACATACACTTACCACTCAGGGTAAAGGCAAAAGGTATACATGCAAAATCTAAAAACAAAAGGACACATAGAGTAATATTGTATGACAATACATTGAGTTTAGATTTAAATATGTACGGGTAAACTCACATTTTTTAGAGCATTTTATATGGATATAGGCTCTAAACACTTAAGCATCCGTGCCTTTAAGGTAGGCAACAAGACCGTATTGATGCAGTTTGCTCTTTTCTCTTCCTTTCAACCGAAGATGGATCTCCAAATGAGATAAAAAAGAAAAAAGAACTTCTGGGTGCAGATTGTTATACCCTTAGTGCACAGTGCAATATATGTACAGAAAAAACGGTGCTCACCTTTTAGAGAGCCTTTTAATAACTGTCTCCAAGTATTGCTGATGTATGTGTCTATTATTAGGGGTGACACTACCCTTAACCGGATCCAAGAGTTCAAGGTAAAGGTAAGTATATTCAAACAAAGTATTTATTAAATATATTTAAAATAGAAATAATTAAAAATTACCAAAGTAATAGTAAAAAATATAAATAAATACAGTATATGTCGAGTCTCTTCCTCTCCTGCTGTACCAAGACGCATTTAGCCTTCAATGTCGTTTTTTTCAATTGGCATTCTGTTATCATCTCACTATCCAGTTTTTAAATGAAGTGTTTTCGCTCATCGGAGAGGTGGGGATAACAGCTGATCTTTGTTGCGGCTTTGATTGCCGTTTCGTCACTTCTGGTTTCTCAACTGTAACGTCACTTCCGGTTCGCTGTCTGAACTACATTACTCGAGAACCTCTTCTCTGTAGTTCTAACAGGTTTAGACAGTTCAAAGTGCCTGATAGGGATTCCGTCTCAGTTCATATTGTCCCATAATGAGTATTAAATAACTCGTAATAAAACTGAATATAATTAAAGATTTGGAAAGAGAAAGCATGTGTCAATGTTAAAGCAACATATTTTAAACTCATAAAATATTTACATATGTATAAAATTGAAATTTTAAGCAGATATAGTGCAAATGAGGGACATTTTGCTGCTTTTCTCAAGACTATTCAGTTAATATGTCTCACGATGTTTCAAAAAAGTATTTACAAATTCAGTGCACATATGTTACACATATAATCAACAATACAATAAAAATATATAGTAAATATTGGGAGTATTATAATATCTTAAAGGTATATATAAAAAACTAGTTTATTATTACTTATATTGAAACTTGTATAAGTAATAATCTTAGAGGTAAAAAGAAAGAAAAACCATATAAAACCATATGAATGTTACTATCCATTATAAAAGATGTTCATAAAAAATTATATAACTCAAAGTCCGCATTTAAACCAAATGGAGTGAGGGTATTGAGATTAAAAATCCATTTCATCTCTGTTTTACCCAATTTTTTATTTCATCTTCTCCTCTACAGCTTAAATTCACTTTTTGGATGGCAAAAAATTCCAACAGACTAGGATCACTGTTGTGTAATGTTTTAAAATGTGAGGAAACATAGTGTTTTTCATAACCTTTCCTAATGTTCCTAACATGTTCATTAATCGTGGAGTTTCGTTCTCCCCACATAATATAGTTCACATGGACACTTCAAAACATAGATTACCTTTTTTGAGAAACATGTAATCATTGTTTTGATTTTATATTCTCTTTTGTTTTGGGGGTCTATGAAGGAAGTAACATGTCTTATATAGCTTTTCGTGCTCCTACAAGCTAGGCACTGGCCGCATCCAAAAAAAACGGGTTTATGAAAGAACGGATTACATATTTCTTTTATGTGATTATGAGTTAGTAATTGTTTTAAATTAGGAGCTCCTATGTATATGATTTGTGGTTTTTCTGCTAATATATTGTGTAATAATGGATCACTTCTTAAGGTCGGCCAATGTCTATTTATTATTTTCCTTATTCTTTTGCCTTCTTGGTTATAATTACAAATAAACAGTATCCCTTTATTATCTTTTTCTTTTTTCTGTTTATATTCCAAAAGGGATTCACGGTCCAAAACTCCTATTTCATTTAAAGTGCTTGATAGTGGCGAGTCGTCATAACTCTTTTCTAGAAATTGTTTTTTGATCCTGTGGGCTTGTATTTGAAAGCTACTAATATCTGTACAATTCCGGCGAATACGCATGAATTGTGACCTTGGGATATTTTTTAGCCACGGTGAGAAGTGGCAGCTTTTCAAATGTATGTAGTTAACATCCACACTTTTAAAGTATGTCTTAGTTTTAGTATGGTCATCTTCTACATAGATCGTTAGATCTAAAAAATTAACTTGTTGTGTGCTATAATTCCTAGTAAGTACTATTCCCCATTGATTGTTATTCAAAAAACAAAGGAAATCTTTCAGCTCGTCTTCAGTCCCTCTCCAGATAAAAAAGATATCGTCAATGTACCACTTATAAGTGACAAGATTCGCACTCCAGCTGGCATTTGACAAAATGAGGTTCTGCTCCCAAAATGCCATAAAAAGGTTGGCATAGCTGGGTGCAAACCTTGTCCCCATAGCAGTACCACACTACCATTATGAAACCAAAAATAGTTGTTCTGAAGAATCAGGTCAATCCCTCGCAGGATAAATTCTATTTGTTCCTCTGGATAGACTTTAGCTTGTTTTAAAAATAAATCTTATGAAATCTTATGAAAAGAAAATTATTTTGAATTTGAATGCCATGTCACTAAAAAAAATTAAGCATTTCTCAAACTTTCAATAAGGCCTAAGGTTATCTCTGCATTGCTTGTCATATGACAGTCCTGACAATCTAAGTAACAAACAGATCCAACACACCTTTTCGTCTTCCTGTCATTAGCAATCCAATTTATTGGGTATAAGCACACAGTGAAGACAAGGGTTATCTTTGCACCCTTCATTCAACCAGTACTATTTGTCAATCATAAGTGTGTGCTGGCTACTGTTTATCTTTTTACACTAGTCCTTACATTCTGTTAGTCCCGAAGATTAATCAGTTATACTATAATGTAACTCTTTAAAGCAAGCATGTCAAACTTGTGGGCCGCTGGCCGCAGGCCGCATTCGGCCCACAAGGACCATCTTTGCGGCCCGGCGAGCCGAGAATACATGCTGGTGTTATAGCAGAGTAGGCACCTGCTTTCCCCACATTGTAGGTGCCTACTCTGCTAACACT